ATGTCATATTTCTTTATAACCTACACACAGAGTCCTATAAACTTTCTTTTTTTCTTTTCGAGACAGGGTTTCTCTGGTTAGCCCTGATTGTCCAGAATTCGCTTTGTAGATCAGACTGGCCTCAAACTCAGAGCTCTGCCTGTCTCTGCCTCCTAAGTGCTGGGATTAAAGGCGTGTGCACCACCACCAGGAGGCTGTTCTGTATATTTTCATCTCAATATTACATATAATGACTAATACAGTGTGAATGCTGTATAGTTCTTTTTATTGTTTAGGGGATAAAGACAAGGGGAAAAGTCTGCTCATGTTCATTACAGATACAAATTTAAATTTTTCCAAAGAGCTGAAGAGCTGGCTCAGGAGTTAAAAGCATGAGCTGCTCTTCGGAGGACCTGGGTTTGATTCCCAGCACCCACATGGCGACTGTAATTCCAGTTCTAGGGAATCCAACTCCCTCTTCTGGCCTCTGCAGGCACCAGACATGCTTGTGGGGCAAGATATACACAGAGAAAAGCATTCACCCACATAAAGTTGTAAGAAAGTTTCCATCTGTGGTTGTTCAAGTCCAGAGAGGTAGAGCCCAAGGACACAGGGGTCCAATTGGGGAAATCTCCTTTGGTGAGGTCATTGTGATCAGGTGGTAGTTTTTTCTCCCAGGCCCTACACAGGCTAGGCAAGAGCTCTACCACTGAGCTGCGGCCCCCAGTCCCATCACCTCTTTCCTTTTGCAAAGCCCTTTGGCAATATAAAAGCTTGCCAGTTCTATCAGGAACTGCATTTTCTCCAGAAATGTTCAGCCCTGTGAAATCTAGAGCTTGGATGGAACAGCAGCTTCTAGCTTTCCTGGTCATGTAGTCGTGGTATGATGAGCCTCCTCTCTCCACCTGAATGAAGCTGGTTTTTCCAGGCTGCTTCTCCACTCTTAGTGAAGTTCTGGCACCCCCTTCCTGGAGTCTCCCAAGCAGCTCAGATAGTTGTGAACCTAGGAATAAGTGCCCGGGATGAGGGTAACAAAGTAGGAGGTCGGCTGGGGAGAACTTGCCCCCCATGTGGCCCAAGCACCTTGCTCATTTCCCACTGGTCCCTGGTGTTAGCTTCTCCAGGGAGGGCTCTAGGTTTTATTTCTGATGCCTCCCATTTACTTTTATTTTTTTGTAGTACTGAGCATGAAACTCAGGGCTGTATATGTCAGTCGAGTGCTCCACCAAATGAGCTACACCCCTCTCCAGGGTTTGTTTTGAAGGTCTCCTTGACTGCCTCTTTTGCCAGGTTTATATGACTCTATGGTGTGAGGTCTCCCTGTGCTGGTCTCACCTGAAACAAGCATCTTTTTCTAGGGAAGACAGACATGACCTTGGGCTAAAACTACTGTTGCTTGTGGGACCCTGGCTTGGTGACTGGAAAGCATCCAGAGGGAGGACTTCCGGCTGAATCACCTGCTGTCTCCATCAATCACTGTGACAGGGCCTGGCATGTACTGGTTCCTCACCCACACTGCTCGTTAAATGAACGGACAAGGAATGAGTGAGCGCATAATGGCACGCAGACTCAGCATTCCTGGCGTCCTGCAGCTCTGGGCAAGGATGACCTTACCTGGTAAGCCACAGCCCAAGGCGGCCTCTGCACCTCTGCTCCTACCAACATGAGGGGCCACAGGCTCCCTGTGAGGCAGGAGGGATTATTTATGGATTGTAGCACCACCCACTTCTTCTTCAGGCTGCCTCTGGGTGTGTGTTTGTGGGCTGGCAGAGTCTGCACTCAGTGAATGCTTGTGAGATTGGATGCAGGTTTGTGAATCAAAACAAAACTCCCATCTGACTCCACAGACCACACTTCAGATGAGAGAGAACGCTTGTGAAGAGCTCGGCCCAGAGGCTGGCTCTGTGGGCACCTGTGTCCTTGCAGCCCTGGGGCTATATTTGTTGGATGAATGAATGGAAGAGGACTGCTATGTGTCCCCTTGTGGAAGGTTCCAGTGTGTTGTGGCAGCCCTCCAGAAATGACACAGCAGCCTGACTCCTGCCCAGCAGCAACAGCCATGTGCACATGATGGGGGCAGGGGTGAGAGTGAGATTCCTGGAGGTCCAGGGATGCCCTGGGGCTGTCCACACGCCTCTTTGATAAATCTGAGTCACCTCTTCTCTGAAATGACCACTGCTGAGTTCCTGTAGTGCCCTCCCCCATCCACCCACTGCAAAAAATTCTTTTCAGAGACATCAGACCTGTCTCTAATGCAAGTCAGATGTCACAACTCTCCCTCATTCTGGAACATTTCGTGGCCCCCCACTGCCCACAGGACATGCACCTCTTTTTTTTTTTTTTTTTTTTTTTT